GGGATCCTGTATTCCCAAAATAATGCCATGGATACCCAAAGGCGTCCTATGGGATTCCATCGGATTCTTTTGGATTTCCCGAAAGACCCCGATGGATGTTGCATTATTCTTATGAACGTTCAGGCTCATCTTGGTCATCCTCATCGTCACCAGCTGCATCATTATGCTGAGATCTCCAGCAGAACGATTCTTATCCCGCCTGGACCCCGAACTTGATTATCCCAGGGGGGTGTTATCAGGAAGTGAAGGTTATAACTTCAATACACTTGGAGCAAGCCTCAAAGACAGAGGATCCCAATTCAATTTGGGTAGTTTGCACAGCACGCTCCAAGAGAAACGGGGCAGATCCCATATGCAAGGGATTCCTGCAGACTGCGAAAACGATTGTACTTTGATTTCGACAGGAACGGGCTAGATCGAAGATCCAAACGGTTCCGAATGCATTTGAAAAGGCTCAAATCGGATTTCAAAACAAGGGGCAGATCCCAGATGCAAAGAATTCCGATTGCATGTTGGGTAAGATCCTGATGGGGTGTCAGGATACAAAGAGCAGATCCCAGATCCAGAGGACCCCCATTGCATATGGATAGGATTCTCGTCGGATTTCCAGGGAGGCCCAGACACTGGCAATTGAACAACGCTGTCTTCCAGCATTTCCAGCTTGTCCCTGAGTCGGGCAGTTCCCAAACGCTGTGTTTTCAAGCTTCTCCCGCGTTCCCAGCTTTCCCCAAATACTGGCACTTGAAAAACGTTGTTATTTCCTGTTTTTCCAAACTTTTCCCACAGACTGACCGTTGAACAACGTTACGGTGTTCAGCTTTGTGTTCTTGGTTCCACAGACTACGCAGCAGGCTAGTGTCTGGAAAAACCTGGAAAAGCGAGACACACAGCGTTTTTCACCAGTCAGTCTTTGGGAGGAACTGGGAAAGCTAAAACCCACAGCGTCTCTCAAGTGCCAGTCTCTGAGAAACACTGGGAAGACTGGACAAAACAGGAAACACACATCATTTTTCAAGTGCCAATCTCTGGGGCAAGCTGGAAAAGCCGGAAACCACCATGTATTTCAAGTGCCAGTCTATGGGACACCGACCTAACTACCCATCAGCATACCCATCAACCACGGGACACCGATCTATCTAGCTGCCCGCTCCACTATCTATCTACCGATTCCACTAATTATCGATCTACCAGTCGAGCTCACGACCGACCGGCCTCACAATTTATCGATCGATGCCACTCTCAATATGTAGACAAGTCTCTCGATCTACTGGCGTCATCCTCACTTTCCACCTGTCTGTCGATCTCACTGTTCTTTGGAGGCGGACGCCGAACGATCCGCTGCCCCTGAAGTGGGCGATCACCGCAACGGAAGTGCTCTATAGTGGCGGGCCAAATTAACGTCACCACACTCGCAATTTGTCAATGTCACTGGTGATCTACCAGTCTCATCATCTACCACCCTTTGGGTGGTAAGAAGGTCTGGGGGTGGCATCTTTGCATTGCATTGGACGGACGGTTGAACTCACGCGTGGGCAGATATCAGGACATCAAACTTTACATACATGTTCTTATATAGATGTATGTATGTACGTACGTACGCACGTATGTATGCATGTATGTATGTATGGATGTATGTATGTGTGTATGTATATGTATGTGTATATGCCCACAATTCTATCTAGGTCCTCACGGTTTTCTCTTCACTCGCTATGAACGTAACTGGCCATAGAAATCTGAGACTAGGGAGATAACCAACGGGACAACCAGTAAATCTACCATCTACCGATCCCACTATCAATCTATCTGTCGATCGACCTCGTGATCCGCATGTTGGGACAAGGACAACCATCGGCACAACTCATGCCGGCACAACTCATGGGAAAGCCATCGGGACCACCACTATATACTTCCATCCCTCTGTCTACATATTGGTTCAACTATGTACCTTCCGATCTCGATAGTATCCTACATGTTTCTCTCACTATCTGTTCAAGCGCTAGACATTCCAAAATGAATGTGTAGATGCCCATGGGTGTACAAACAACATTATGTACTGGTCTCTCTCTCTCTCTGTATCGATCTCATCTGTCCGTCTTTCCCACGTCTTTCCCACCATTTCTATATCTATCAGGACAACCGCTCTGTATATATATATATGTATGTATGTGTATATATATATATATATGTGCCGATCGGCCCCACGATCTATCGATTCGATGCCACTACCTACCAAGACAAATATCAAAACGTCCATCGGGATAACCATCCGCACCATCGGGACAACCGTCAGAACTACTACAATTCGGACAACCATCGGGAAAGCCATCGGCACAACCATTGGGACAACTACCTGGACTACAGTGGGGACATCCATCGGGAAAATCGTCGGGGCAACCATCGGGACACGCATCGTGACAAGCATCGGCACAACCATCGGCACACTCACCAAGACAAACAATGGGACAAACATCGGGACAACCATCGGGACAAGCACTGGGGCAACCGGACAACCATCGGCACAACCATCTGCACAACAATCGGCACAACTATAAGGACACGCATCGGGATAACCATCGGGGCAAATATGGTGATAACCATCGGGACTACCACCGACACAACCATCGGCCCAACCATTGGGACAAGCGGTGTCGACGACCTGCGCATGGGGGGAGACTCATTTCGGTCTGACTTGGCCCCTGCCAATGAGAGAACTCGCGCAACTTCGCCTCGTCCGCACGCATGTTACACACGAAATCGACGATGCCCCTGCGGGGGCACCTCAAATATCACGTCGGCCTTCCCCTCCAACCTCCGATCTACAGACGGGACAACCACAACACAACCCCGGGACATCCACGAGAAAACCATGGAACAACCACGGGACGACTACGGGACAACCACGGGACGACCATGGAACAACCACAAGGCGACCACTGGACAACCACGGACAACTACGACAAAATCACAAGAAAAACACGTGGGACTAACCACGGAAAAACCACGGGACTACCACTGGACAACCGCGGGACAACTAAAGGCAACCACGGGACAACCACGAGACAACCACGGGACAACCATCGGGACAACCCCCGCGCACGCCCCAGCGGACGGGGGCGAATCGTCTTGGCCTAGCCTGGCCCTAGCTAGCGCAGGAGCTCGAGCAGCTTAGCATGGCCCGCACGCACAACACGAATCGAAACCGAAACCGAATTGAAGCTTGGAAGACTCCGTTTCACTCGGTCCCACCCCCGCAAACCCCATGAACTGTCTTTTTGGAGCCTGCAGCGCGTACAACCTTCAATCATATCGCAGCCGTACTTGCGGCCAGGCCCTGGCACTGAACGGACCACTTGCCGCTCGCTCCCTGTCTCCCCCACACCCTACAGTCGGGCCGCTGAAAGAAGGACCGCTGAATGGGGAACGAAGCCCCTTTTGGCCCTACAGGCGCCTCCGTACCCGAGGAGGGCAAAAGGAACGGCAATGGAGGAACTTAAGGAACATCGAGCCCCTTTCGAACCCAAGCTGTTCCACATTCCAGCGTCTTGACTGTGCCCTCCTCCCCACCTCCTCCTGCCTCGTCCCTGCGCCTGCTATCCCTGGGCACTGCCGCGCGCACACCTGTCGCCGCGTTCCCGCGCCCCTGGGAGGCCCTACGGAATGACGCCTCACGCGGGCCCAAGCTGCACCTCCTGCGCCCCCGGCGCTGCCACGGCGTGCGCTTGCCGCCGCTCACCTGCGCCTCGTGGAGGGTCCGGCGGAACGGCGCCTCACCAGACGTACGCCAGACCTCGCCTCCTGGGCGCCTCCTGGGCAGCGCGCTGTCGCCGCATCCCTGCGCCTCTGGAAGGTACCGCGGAGCGACGCCTCACTCAGACCCGAAGGAATATAGACCTAAGTTTCCAAGCGTGCAGCTATCGGCACGTCCCGGCGCCCTGGGGCGTCTGACAGAGCGACGTCCCGTGCTGATTCAAACTATACCTCGCCTCCCTGGGCGCTGCCGGCGTCTGCCGCATCCTGTGCCGCTGGATGTGGCCCTTCGGAGCGACGTCTTACGCAGAACGAAACTGAACCTCGCCTCCCTGGGCGCAGCCGTCGTCGCTGTCGCCGCTGCCGTCGACGATGTCCTGTGTCCTGGGAGGTCCAGCGAAGCGACGTCTTGCGCGGACCCCTCCTCTTCCTCCTCCTCCTCCTCCTCTTCCTCCTCCTCCTCCTCCTCCTCATCCTCCTTCTCCTTCTCCTCCTCCTCCTCCTCCTCCTCCTCCTCCTCCTCCTCCTGTTGCTGTTGCTGGTGGCTTTGGGACCGTCAAAGGGAGCAGCCATTGCTCCTCCCGTTCCTCCCGTTCCTCCTCCTCCTCCTCATCCTGCCCCTGCTCCTGCTCCTCCTGCTCCTGCTCCTCCCACTCCTCCTGCTCCTCCTGCTCCTCCTGCTCCTGCTCCTGCTCATGCACCTCCTGCTCCTCCTGCTCCTCCTGGTCCTGCTCCTGCTCCTGCTCCTGCTCCTGGTCCTGGTCCTGGTCCTGGTCCTGGTCCTGGTCCTGGTCCTGGTCCTGGTCCTGGTCCTGGTCCTGGTCCTGGTCCTGGTCCTGGTCCTGCTCCTGCTCCTCCTCCTCCTCCTCCTCCTCCTCCTCCTCCTCCTCCTCCTCCTCCTCCTCCTCCTCCTCCCCTCCCCGCGGGGCCCGCACTTCCCGGGGAGCCCGACCGCGCACGCCGCGATCGCAATTAAGTCCAGAAGCCCTCTCCCGCTCCCCGCTTCTCCTCCCCTTCGTTCCTCGCTCCTCCCCCTGCGGGCGGGCGGCAGTGGGGGGTGACCGAGATGGGGGGTGAACGGAAGGGCCCTGAGCGGCGCCCATCAGGGCCCCTCTTGGGGGCCCCTGCTGGCTCCAAGAGGGGCCCCTTGGGGATCCTTGTTCTGCACCCCCCCATTGGGGCCACCCCCCACTGCCACCCGCCCGAGCCTGCCCGCTCCTCGCTTCCGTGGGGTGGGTGGCCCCCCCCGCCGCCTGCATCGCGGAGCAGCATGACCAGATCTCGGATCTTCGTCTGGCCACGCCGCGCGGCGAGGAGGGCGAGGAAGAGACGGACGACGAGGAGCAGGATGACAATGACAGTGGGAATGAGGAGCAGCGGCAGCAGCAACATCGGAAGAGGCAGCAACAACGAAGGCGGGCCCCGCGGAGAGGTCCAGGGGGGATCCAGGGGCTGGCCACGGAGAAGAGAGCATAGGGTGACTGGGGCCAGACTGGGGCCAGGGAATGGGAAGAGTCATTGGAAGGCACCCTGAGGAATGGCGCCCTGAGGGCATCGTTCCAAGGATGCTTCACGAGGTGCCTGCAGAGAACTCCACCCTAGGAACAGAGAAACACGCGAAACAACCGCTGCACCCGCCGAACCGCCAGGCAGAGCCAACATTGCATCCTAGCTGCCAGATGAGATTCGGCTCAGGGGGGGGGGACGGGGCGAGTCCAGGCAGGTAGCGGTTCGCATCCCAAGGGCGGAGAAATTAGGCACATTTGTTTTGGAGCGCACTTGGTGTCCGAAAGACTTTCTGCATTCACCTACCAGCATGAGCGTAAGGGACCTCACTCCGAAATCTTGGCTGACGGACAACCGGTCCGCACCGCCTCCACCCCCTTCGCATGATCGCTCGCGCTTGCGTCAGCGCGCGCGCTTTTAATCAGCTCCGTCTTGTAGCCGACTTTGCATGCATGGACAAGGGAGGACTGGACGCACCGACTCGTCACCACGCCAATGAAGCTCAACTGAGCGCTTCCGGGCCCGTAACCAGCCTCGGTGAGCTGCTAGAGCAGCAGATGCCCCAATGGGTCCTGCCTCCCATCGTCATCAAGGTCGACGTTGTTTGGCCCGCGCTACGCAAAATCATCGGAGAAAGCATCGTCGACCTGCTTCCGGAAACACATACATAACCTTCTTCGTCCCGACCTTGAAAATACCTGGGCCATGTTTGGCGCAGTGGGGATTATGCATAAACTGGTCGTGCGTCTGTCCCTGATCCCTTGGCCGCAAGCGTGAGCAATTCGCCGTACGGCACGACCGCAATCTCTTTGTTCAGGTCAGACCAGGATTTATCATCAAGTGGGAAGACGCCTTTTGCCTCGGGATCGAGGTAGTCATGCGTGTCCACGATGAGGTCCCAATCCACTGTCTCAACCAATCCGTTTACGCGGTTCACCACCGGTGCGATGACCGCCGTGGGCAATCCAGCATTCCAACACTTATTGTACGAAATATGTTTCTTGCCAGGCTCGAACTTCGTGACCGGCTTCATGCTGTGCTGTGGTTGGCGCTCCATGCGCCCAGCGCGTAGCTCTGGTCCTGGCCGTGCTTCTAACTGATGTAAGCGAGCCCCACCACTGCCGGACGCGGTCGCTACGACTGCGGCATCGTGCCCGCCCTGCACGTCAATGACAGCCAGGACACGCTCCTTCTTCCTCGGGGGGCCGGTTTACATGTCCCGAAACGGCGCCCGCTCGGCGCACGGCATGGCGCCCGTGCCGTCCAGAAACAAAGCCGAAAGAACCCGCCTGTGCCTTGTAGAGGAAGGCGCCATGGTCACCCGCACCGAGCTGCCCGGCGTGGCGCCAAACACAATATTCAACCTCACAACTCATGGCAGAAGAAGCCTTGGGACCAGGGTGCACCAGACTGCTCCCAGGACACGCAACCTCGACCTTCGATGAGAAACGGAGGACCACCGCGCCCTCTGGGTCTGACACGACCTTCATGACGCTCTTGATGGCCCACAGCTTGCCCGTCAGATTATCCTCCGAACCATCACGCCTGACGTACAGGAAGTAGTGGCTCCCTGCAATGGCGACGAAGGCGAAACAATCCGTATAGCAAGTCATGCCCGGGATCTGGATAGTTATATCAGCGAAGGCCCCCGTCTCGGCCAGCTGAGCCTTGAAGGTGGACGTGGCGACGAATTCACTGAGACTCTAGAGAAGAGCGTGGCCCACCTGAGCACTCTTCAGGTACAATGTGACGCCCTCTGGATGGCCTGGAATCGGGTCACTCGCGTTGTAGTTGTGCGCCTCGAGCACCTTCCCTTCATCTCTCGAAGGACGACGATGTCCTGTGAGAGAATACGGGCGACCCGAAGAGGGCGCAAACGAGTGCAATCACAGTGGGACTCATTGTCGTGGTTCTACTTTCAGACACGCTTCTTTGTGGCAACAAAGGCTTCTGAACAACACAATGCTGCTGGATCCAAAACGACTACGAAGGCGTAGAGAGTTGGCACATGAAGAACGACGGGGGGGAACCGAGGAGGCGGGAAATGCCCTGCAGAGGACCACGATTGGCGTGGCGGGTCCTGAACCTCTGATACTCCTGCAGCCATTGCAGAGGCGGCTCTGAAGACTGGACGCCGACGCAAGTGGATGGCCGGGGAAGGGTGGGGCGGAGGGCGGGGGGGAAGGGAAAGATGGTGGGGCGGCTGTGATTACGAGGAGGCAGGAGTAGCAACAGCAGCAGGGGGATGAGGGAAGATGGCCTCGAGGGAACGAGGGTAGAAAGAGGGCCTACATGCTGTCGACGTTGGTTTCCTGGCAAGGGTGGGTCGGATATTCAAGCCCGTGAAGGCTGAGGCGGCTAATGGGCCTGGGCAAGAAAAACATGGGAGGAGGGGGCAAGGTGCGGGGGGGCAGAGCAGGAACCCAAATCTGGAATGATATGTGACGATCTGGATGCGATTTCTGTTCCGCGGGCGCGCGCACTTCGCGGGCGCGCTTAGGCAAGCCCCAGGCCGTGACAAATTCACAGATCCTCTGAAGTAGTTACCCACAAATGGCTCGAACATGAGGGGTTAGACCGAATCGTCAAAAACGCAGGTCGAACAGAGATCAAATACAGAAAATGGCACACTCATGCAATGCAATGCGAACCAATGCCAAGCAGTGAAGAGGATGGAGTGCCTACACTTGTACTTCAATGCAACGCAGTGCCATGGAAACCAGATGCGAGCGCCATGCAGCGAAAATCATAGCAAGTAAAAACTTGCCGAGCAAATTCGCCGGCCCAACGGGCCAGAGGCGTGCTAAGATCTCCGGTAACTACTTAACAATATTTCTAGTTCGCGCGCGCAAGGCGGCCCCTGGGGGGCCCTGGACGAAAAGTACCCCGGCCGATCCCCGGCTGACCCCAGGGCGATCCCCAGGGGGGGGCTATTATTTTTCGCCACCCCTCACGAGGAGATTGGCCTCCGAGGGGGGGGGGCGCAATCGACTACCCCCCCTCCCGCCCCAAGGGGCCCCCAAGAGCCCCCCAACAGGCCCCAGGGGAGCACAACACGCCGCCAAGGAGCCCCAAGACGCTCCCAAGAAGCCCCCAAGACGGCCTCAAGAGGCCCCAAATAGTGCTCCAGGGCCAGCGGAATGAGCGAAGCGATTAAATGAATGGCAAGGCAATGCCATGCAACGCAACGAAATGCAAAGCAGAGCAGCGTTCACCAGAAAAACGCCGTTTGCGGAGCCATGTCTGAGCACATCCGTCTGGAAGCAGCCACCTGAAATACAAAGCAATACAATGCAAAGACAATGCACAATAACGCAAGAGGCCGTAAGAACCCGAAGGTTCCGGAACCTCAGTGATCCCAGGGACAAGGTGTGCAAAATAAGAGGTGGATGATGACCCCAATCCAGCCTCGGCGAACTTCCATATGACGCTAGCACACCAGCTCGTCCTTCTCCACATCCTCCTCCCCCTCCTCCCTCTCGCAATCGATCCTCCGGCCAACCAGCCGGCCCTGGCCGGCGACTGTTTAGATTGCCACGCAGCCTCCTTACCGGGACAGGGAGAAGTAACGAATTCCCCCCCCCAGCTGCCGGGCATCAACTGTCACAGGTAGCCCCTGGTCCATCGGCCACGCGGCCGGGACAAGCTATATGTTTTCTAAGTTTGCTTCGGGGGGCAGGATCTGTCCGCTCGCACGCGGCGGCAGTCTGGAAGCCACGTCAGGCCCTAATCCCCTGAAGCCTGGAGCATTCCCCGTGGGATCTTCATGTCCACCACCGGCTTTTCCTTATCCCACTTAGTGGGATTGTGTTGCAGCTATGTCAATGATTTTCTCCCAGCACAGGGCCTAGATCTGGCCTACGCTGGCCCTGGTGGCACTTCCAGATTCTGGGCTATCGTCTGTTCCCGCATTGTCCCATTCAGCTCTGCGTTTGCGCTGCCTTTTGTCTCAATATCTCTGCGGTGCCAGCGGCAACGCCGCCTAAGCCGTATTGGAAATAAGCATGTGTTGCCTCTTTGTGCCTTCGGCCCATACCGCCACCCTGCCTGGATTGTGGGTTAGAGACCCCCTTGGATATTCGTTGGGATATTTGGGATATCGCGCAAAGCCGCTCGGGGGCCTCTTGGAAGCCGTTTTGAAGCCTCTGGGAGGCCGCTGTGGAGCCTCTTGGGACCTCTTTTGGGCCTCTTGGGTGCCTCTCTTGGAGCCTCTTGGGGCCTCCTGTGGCGGAAAGCCCGAATTGTCGGTTCGTGTTCCCCCTCTTGGGCCGCTCTTGGGGCCGTCCTGAGGCCCTCTTGGGTCGTCTTGGGCGCCTGCTGGGCTGTTTGGGGGCCTCTTGGTCTGTCTCGGGGGCCTCTTGGGGGCCTCTTAGGCCCTCCTCGGGCGAGGTTGGAGGCTTCTCGAGCAGTCTTGGAGCGTCGACGGCCTGGAAACGTGAGAACGCGAAAAATATTGAAAAACAAACTGAATATCAATGATTTGGGCATCTTGGGGTCCTCTTGGAGGTCCTCTCGGAGTACTCTTGGGCCTCTTCGGGGCCTCTTGGGCCATCATGGGGCCATCTTGGGTGGCTTGGTGCGCTCTTGGGCCGTCCTGGCGGCCTCTGGGCGTCCGCTGCGGGCGACGACGAGGACCCTCGATGCGCAGGGAACGCCCTGGAGCGTTCAAAAAGATCCGTGGGCGCCGGGGACTAGATGAGTTACTGGGGGGGCAACGGGGTTTTGAACAAATGGGGGCCCCAGGGCCCAGGGACCTGGTCGCCGGTTATATTGTATATGCCGATTCAGAACTGCACTGTTGTAGTTCGAAGCGCCCCATCCGACTCGAGTCGAAATTTGAACTGACATCTTTTTCCTCATTCTATGATCCGAAAAGCTGCTCGCGGTCGAATTAACTTGCCGACCGAACTCTGACTGCTTTCCAAGCCCCTCAGGATGTATTACTCGTCGTGTCAGGTTGTTAGCCCTCCCGAGATCCCGCCCATGGTGAACTGGTCTGGCATGTTTGGAGTGAGGGGTCATGCCCGAGAGGTGCTTGGTTGGTTTTTGGGTGGCGCGGGGCGTTCCGAATCGTCTAACCCGCTCCAACGGAGTAATAAACGGCACAGGTGTCTGACTGAAGTCACGGGGCGATTATGTTACCGATTGCGAAACAGAGTGGTTTGGGCATCTCATGCTCGAGACGATTCTGTTGCTTCAACAGTCATCGTGCCTAAAGAATGCTGAGTAAGGAACGAATTGGCTGTTTCTGGCAACTGCGAGCCTCGGCCGAAAATGCTTGCCCTGACCTGGATCAAGGAACGGCCCGAAGACCCAAGCACAGGCGGAGCCCGAAGTGGTCCTAATTTCAGCGTCGTGCCTGTTCCATAGGAAGGTCGTTGGTGGGCCGTTCAAACTGGTGCCAAGGCACAGCACCACTGGGCCTCCTACTTGGCAGAAACTCTAGACCAATACATTATGTTCGTGTATGCTCTCGGAGAAAAGCGCAGAAGCCTGTAGATGCTCGTCGGGATTGGGCGCGCTCACAGGGCACGGAATCGGTGAGGTTGAGTCGGTTCGAAAGCCAATGTCAGCCTCAATTCAGCACTACATCCTGTTGTGACTTGCGCCTCGGGATCGTGGGCTGGCACTGAGGGTGCGCCCGCACTAGCGCGTTGAGTTCTGACCCCGACTCGGGGGAGTCATGCTCCGAGAAGGGATGCTCAGAGCTGGGGTACTGGGAGGATCGGGCAGCCCCGCTGAGGTGCGTTCGCAACAACCCTCCTTCTGCTGCTGCTTCCCCTCTTCCTCCTCCGTCATCTCCCCATCCCTTCCTCCCTCTCCTCCCCTAAACATCCTCCTCCTCCTCCTCCTCCTCCTCCCTCCGTCCCGATTTTCTCTCATTTGTCCTTCTCACTCCTCCTCCTCCTTCTCACTCCTCCTTCTCACTCCTCCTCCTCCTCTCTCCTCCTCCTCCTCCTTCTCCTCCTCCTCCTCCTCTTCCTGCTCCCCCAGCTATCTCAATTCCTTTTCCTTCCAAATAACCCCTCCCCGTCGCACCACCTGAAGTGGCCGTAAGCCGGGCCAGGCGTTTCGCCTCAGACTTCCTTACGATTCAGGATGCCGGGACCACACAAAACAGCAGATACAAGGATGGAGGGCCCAATCCGTTCGAACTCGGGCTGTCGCCCGAGCACCGCGCACATCTGGTTTGAGGTCGTCCAGCTGCTACACGGATGGAAAGACAGTCGCTCTCAAACTGCGGCCCTCGCCTCGGATCCACGCAGATTCGCTTTACCAATTTTTCATTTGCTGTGTACAACGCTGGAGCGTGCGGTCATTTTCCAAAAAACCGATGATCGCCCCAGCGTCGCGCATTTTCGTTCTGAACATCACCAACAGCTGCAAAGGTGGAGGTCAGCGCGTGTTCAAACTGCGGCACTCGCTGGATGCTTCCTGAGATCTCGATGCCCACATTGTGCAGCAAGCATGTGGGCGGAGGGCGGGTTCTCTTCAACATGGGGCTACCTGTGGAGACGTCCGCAGACATCATGTCGAGAACATTGAATGCGTGCAAAATAAGCAGCATCGCTGGCGCGTCCCTGGGATCGGCTGGAGGTGTGAAGGAGAGACACCTCCAGTTGCAGGCAGGGGGCGAGAGCGGCGGGGAGGGAGTGCCCCCCGCCGCCCCGCCGCCGCCCCCTGCCGCCCGCCCACGCGCGCCTCAGCTTCCAGGCTGGGCGGTCTCTGCCCCCCTTCCTCCTTCCGTCGTTGGTTTGGAGGGTGGCGCGGTCGTCGTCCTCCCCCCTCCCCTCGCTCGGGAGGGCCCCCTCCCCCTTGGCGGAGGCCAGGGGTTCCCCCCCGAACCGTGAGTAGCGGAGCTCGAAGAGAGCCTCCTGCAGCGTCCCCCCCCCCCCTCCCTCGCGGTGTCTTTCGTCAGGCCCGCCCCCCGGGGGGGGGGCGCCCAAGGAAGGCCTGTGCGCGAGGCTGGGCCCGCATCCATGTCTTCGCAATGGCGTTTGACCCCTGTACGGCTCGCTGCTGCTGCCGCCGCTCGGACTCGCCTCGAACGCGCTGAACCTTGACCTCTCCCAATCCTCCTCCTCACTTTCCTTCCATCTATCCCGCAACTCCTCGATTTTCTCCTGTACCCTTCATCATCCTACTGCAATCTTCCGTCAGTCCCTCCACCCGGCGCGGTCCGAGCGAACGCAGAGAGGAGCGCCCGCGCGGGGTGGGTGGGTGGTCGCCGACTGCATCGCGCTCCACTTCTGGCGGTCGGACGGCCCTGCCGAGGCATACGAGGGCGAGGGAGAGGAAGGGGCAGGAGGACTATATTAAACTCAAAATGCATCAACGCTGGGCAAATATGATGGCATCCCTACACGACCACTCTTCGGGTGATAGGGAGGTTGTGTGGGGGGGAGAGGGGGGAACCAGCATCTGACTCAATCGATCTCACTATCGATCTCACTCAACGGGACATCACGGGACACCACGGATCTCACGATCGATCTCACTATCGATCTCACTCAACATGACACCACGGGACACCACGGGCCACCACGGGACATCACGAGACCCCGCGGGAAACCTCTCGATCTCACGATCGGTCTCACTATCGATCTCACGATCGATCTCACTCAACGGGACACCATAGGACTCCACGGGACACCACGGGACACCACATCGATCTCACTATCGATCTCACAATCGATCTCACTACCGATCTCACTCAACGGGACACCACGGGACACCACGGGACACCACGGGACACCATGGGACACCACGGGACACCTGCCGATCTCACTATCGATCTCACGATCGATCTCACTTTTTGGGACACTACGGGACACCTCGGGGCACCACATCGATCTCAGTATCGATGTCAGTATCGATCTCAGTATCGATCTCACCCAACGGAACACCACGGGACACCACGGCACACCACGGGACACCACGGGACACCGCGAGCCACCGCAGGACGGACGGTCGGACGGGCGGGCGGGGGAGAATCATTTGTCTTGACTTCGCCCTAGCAACGGCAGACACCACGGGACACCACGGGACACCACGGGACACCGCGGGACGCCGCGAGCCACCGCCGGACGGACGGTCGGACGGGCGGGAGGGGGAGAAGCATTTGTCTTGACGTCTCCCTAGCAACGGCGGACACCACGGGACACCACGGGACACCACGGGACACCGCGGGACACCGTGAGCCACCGCCGGACGGGCGGGCGGGAGGCGGAGAATCATTTGTCTTGACGTCGCCCTAGCAACGGCGCATTCATTCCTCTCGCGCGCCCAGGCAGCTTCGCCTTGCCCGCACGCGCGACACGAACGAAACGAAACCATTTCCCGGCTGTGGGACTCCGTTCCACTGGGGGTCTCCGCTCCACTCCGATATTGCCCCCCAATAGATTGCACAACACAGGTTGCACTTCACAAATCGCCCCACTGTTACTGCACAGCGTAGGTTGCACGACATACATACGTTGCACAACATCGAGCGCACAACATATGTTACACCACATACATTGTTTCACATCGATTGCAAAGCATCCCGTGCTAGAAACACACTGCTTAGGGCCCACCCTGGGTAACATGCGTCAGCCCTGGGCAACGAAGATCATACATCATACAGCACACCGAGGTGTCCAGCGAGACCCCGTTTTTGACACAGGATCGCTCCACGTCTGCGCATGCACAAGTTTAGTTGTCGGGTCCTGAACCCGAAGAAGTCGGAAGCGAGATCATCACTGTGATAAGGGACCACTCTTTATTCGCGAAGCTGCTACATGCTGCTTAAGTTTTTGGTATTATGATTCAGGGGCGCTTTACACGAAACCACCATGTTGGAAATGAACCGTCCTCTCTCTCTATATATATGTATGTATGTATGTATGTATGTATGTATACATATATATAGATGCGTTCTGTATGCTGGTGAAACAAATGTGCGCGGCGCTGACGCGAGGGTCCAATGTTGGGAAGGAGCCGACCTCCATGTCTGTAAGTGTCGCAAACAAGTATCACGAATGTGCACGACGATGAGGCGATAATTTCATCCCCCATCCACCTTTGTAGTTGCTGCATGCTTGTATAGCTAAAGGACTCAACGCTGCGGCAAAATCCCGGATTTCGAACATCACCACCCTCCACCCGTGCACCCGTTGCAAATTCCAAGCTCCCGGGTCATCAATATTGAGGAACTCGCAGGCGAAGCGTCTGGAACGTCCTACCGACACGTCTGGGGGTGCGGTAAAGATGAGATCTTCTAGGACCAACGGGTGGAAAAAGGAAGAGGAGGAGGATGAGGATGACAAGGAGCAGGAGGAGGATGTGGAGGAGAAAGCGGAGAAGGGGGAGGAGGAGGAGGAGGAGGAGGAAGAAGAAGAAGAAGAAGAAGACTCGGCATTGCGCTGCATGTCTGATGTCTCATGTCTGCTGCTGCTAACCGTAGTTTACAACAAAGCACCTCTGACAATCGATCGAACGAGTATGCGGTCGAGGTCAGGGTAAAGCGCACCGTGCAGCCTGGAAATCGAACGAGTGCGAGACCGATCGCAAAGAGAATGGCCCGTGCGAGCGGGAGGCGAAAACCTCTCGGGCTCCGCAGGAGCCGATGCCTCCAGGACGGCGGGCCCCAGGCAGGCCCCTGGAGCTCCCGAGCCCTCCCGAATTCGAGCCCACTCCCCAGCAGGCAAGCAACGACAGACGAGAGGAGAACGACGGGGCAAGAGAGGCGACAGAGAGGAAGAGCACGAACGCGGGAGGGGGCGAGGACAAAGCGGGAGGAGAGCAAGCAAGCCGCAGCGGAGGGGGGAGTGAGCTCACAATTTAAAATACTGCCCTCACGACATCCTCGGAAGAGGGGGAAGGAGGGCAGCGGCTGGGCGGTGCCTCGAAGTGCGACGAGGCGGGCTTCAGCTCATCAGACGGGGATGGAGAGGTGTAGGTCGCCCGTGACGCGGGCGTCAAAGAAGTCCCCATACAGAGACAACCCAATTCCAACCCCCATATACTTCAATATGAAGCGGCTCGGCCCGAAGCTTCGAAGCAGCAAAACCTGACCCGTGTGCCGACACATAAGGCGGGCAAGGGCGATCAAAATCCAACCCAGGCCCCCTGGAAGGCACATCAGGACAGAGGCGACGTGCACCCCGCAAGGGGGAGCGTTCTGACAGGGCGTAGCCGATGAGGATGCAGTCTAGGACACCGAATATGTAGATGCTTCTGCCGACCGAGAACTCATATCCTTAATACGAATCCTTTCGCGTAGTGCTCCTAATCTGCACTGCCACGACTCTTGCCTCCCTTGGGTTTGGACCGATCCAGCAACTTCTGGGCCATCATTTCCAGATGACCGACTGGTGCCGTCCCCAGCTTGAGACGACCTCCCAGGTGAACCAGCGCCTTGACTAGAGCCTGCTCCATGAGTAGCTTCGACACCCCTGGCTGGCCCCCTCCCAAAGGAATATGAAAGCCGTCCGCTATGCTGAACTGGATGCGGCAGAAATTCTCGTTGTAACATTTGCGAACCCTGAAATGACGAATGACCAATCCCAACTCCTCCTGCGAAACCACCGAGAAAAACTTGTCGTAAAAAGCGCTCAGCACCTGCGACGGCTCCAGGAGTGTCGTCACATGCTCGTCCTCCTTCAATGATTTGAACACGGCGCGCGCGGTGTACAAATGAGGAGGGCCAACCTTCGCCTTGAGCTCCTGGATCGCCGTGACTTCGGCGTACTGCTTGCCTGCTTGTTTGGCCGCGACGACGGGGCTGCACTCCACTGGCGAGACGATCGATATCCACTCCGAGGCCGCCATGTCCCTCAACTGCTGAGCGCGTTGGCAAGCCATTTTCAAGAGTATGTCCAGGGCCTGTTGAATGTTTTTTGCCTCCAATGCCCCTTCTACTTTTGCCAAATCTTCGTCTGCGTCGTCTGCCATTGATGCGATCCGTCCCTTCTTTGTCTGGAGGTGCGCCGTCGGCAGGACCGCCCGCTTTTGCCGTGTGTCCCTGAAGCAGCGCGCCGAGGTCCAACTCCATGTCGCAGTCTGCGCAGTGCCAGTTGGGGAGGCGGCAGAGAACAGTGTGTTTGAATGTGCCGTTGCAGAGAGTACAGGTCTTGAGCCAGGTACGTGCAGATCGGGCACGCCAGAGACGGTGGACTGATGATCTCACTCTGCGAATAAGAACTCCGACCCACCGCGCAACGATTGTGCTGATAAGACCGCATCACGTGCCTCTGCGCGTTCTCTCGTGAGCCCAGGGCCTGCAAGCAACGAAAGCAGTGATTAGTGACAGTCAACAGGCTGGCCTCGTTCCTAACCGAGTGGACCCGACCCGCATGTAGGAACAGACGCTTCATAGACGAGAAGCGTTCCCCGCAAGCCCCGCCCTCGGCCGTCGTGAGATTGCACAGGTAGGGCCCCTCGATCGCGACATCGTCCGAAACGTCGTCGTCAAACACGAGCGGAGCCTCGAAGCCTGGAGGGGGAACCGAGTGCGAGAAGGCCTGGGCCCGCAGTATCGAGAAGTCGATATCGACCCACTCGACGAACTCCTGATCGAAGAGAAGCTTGAGGAGCGGATAACATGGAGGAAGAAGATACTGGAGCTCCTCCGAGCCCTCGAAACCGAACGTGAGGTCCTCAAGTGCCTGCCGAACCCAGGGGTTGGCGTCGCTGGCCAATGTCCAAGATGCGGTGACCACCTCCTCGGAGCCAAGACGCCCAAAGACACTCGCTCTGGCCTGCCGATGGGCCTCGGGGAACTTGCTCCACGGGTCGATGGAGGGCGGGGGGGGGGGCAGGGGAAGCTGGAGGAGAAGGCAGGAGGTGGCGGGGGGAGGAGGCAGAAGGAAGAGGCATGAGGAGGAAAGGTGGAGGAGAGGGCAGAAAGAAAGAGAAGAGGAGGAGGCAGGGGAATAAGAAGGGCAAGAGGGAAGATAACGATGCGATATGCGATGACGACCCAGATGATGCGATGACGACCCAGACGAGACGGGTGGGGATGAGGAGGGAGGAGGACAATCTCGGAGCAGTGCGAGGGCAACGCGAACAAGGAGGCACGGAGAAGAGAAATATGGGGGAGAAGCTGGAGAAAAAAAATACGTTCCTCTTTCTCCTTCCTTTCTTCGTCCTCCCCTTTGCTCCCGAGCAGTCGCAGACGATCCGTGATTGGCAGGACTGCGTGGTAAGCTCCATATCTGGGTAGGAGCTTTGCCAGCAGCAAGCCCCCCGGCGGATTACGATGAAGGAACACCTTTTCCAATGGAACAACCATGATGCTCCTCTTCCTCTTCCTCCTCATTGTCCTCCACATCTGTGCTTTCGACCAGGCACCGGCTACACTGTGACCAGGAAAGATGGCGGCAAACTCCGAAGACGGACAGCCGCGTCGCCGTCAGCAGGCCCCACAACGGATGACGATGGATGAGCGCCTTTTCCTGTGCAGCACCCGTACTGTAACAGGGAAATGACTGGATCACTGAATGGCGAAATTACAACGTGCTCGAACGAGGGGCCATGCCCTCCGCTGCCGCAAGACTGATGCTGCTGGCGAGGATTCAGATCTACGTCCCTGGCGTTCTGGCCGGGGAAAACGGTGACACACATTGGCTCCTAGAGAGCGCATGCCTTGAGGGAGGCTCAGCTTTGCGAAAGGCTCACCAGCAAACGCCTGCTGCATAGGCAAGTGTCTGCTGCATGAACAAAATTCTGCGAAGATAGCAACTTCGCACAAACAAGAATCGTCTTTTCTTTTACAGGTGCAAGGGCCGATCAAGGCTCACCTTGACACAACAAGTATAAAAGCATGGTCACGCCCCAAGCCTACAGGGAGGGCGGGAAGAGCGCAGCATGGAGAATTACAACGCAAGGACATCATGGTGAAGAGATGGCGTCTCGGCAAGACGACGGATCGTGGCACGAATGCTCAAACCGATGCGTTGACATTGTCTGTAAGGGGGCGGAGGATGAGGAGAGGGGTGGGAAGAGGATCAGGAACGTCCAAGAGAAGGGGGGCCCGAGGATGCAGAAAAGGAATCATGAACATATTGAGGATGAAGAGGACGAGATAACGTATTGCCTGACAGCGGAGTGCAGCCGCATGCCAATCGAATACCAACGATGATCATCGTTTGCCCAAACTGGCTGACCAACAGGCGGGCACTCTTGCTTGCGGCTGCCAGTCGCAGCCTGCCCTCAAACTTTGAGGCCCTGTGCTGCAGTGGCGCATGGCCCTTGAAGGGTCAGCGGGCCGTTTGCTGGAGCCGATGCCGCGTCCCAAGCCCTCCCCCCGCCAACACCCCTTGCTCGTGTTGCAAGGCGCTTCCCTTTCTGCGCATGCAATAGCCGTAGATGCAATGTGCGCCTGCACATGGTTGCCCGATAGAACGTGTAGTTATTCGCCATGAGCAGTGATTGCTGCACATGGTTGCCCCTCCTGTGTCATGAACAATGACTGTCACAAAACAACTGCATTCGTCACTCGCTGCATGCGGGCACCTCTTGTACAACCCGCTTGCCCAGAGGTTTCATATGGCGCCTTGTGGCTGTGAGCTAAGTCTTTGGGATCTTCATTCGGAAACGCAGATGCACACACGGGCAGACCTCTAAAGAGCAAGTAGCCCCTCCAAACGGACCAGCCCCAATGACTTGATAATGGTACATCGCTTCGACCAGGTCGAGCTCCGCTTGCTTGGATTAGCTGCGCCTAACACTACCAGTAAGCGTGGCACATCGTACTTGTACGTAGCATGCTGGCGCCTGGCGGCCATTTTCCTTGCCGTGCGTGCCTGAGGACAAGAACAAGACAGCAGACACGTGCAGCGGCTTCCCCTCTACGGTCGAGACTATTGCATAGCGTGTCGCAGAGGCGGCCCCGGCGACACAATATGCCTTGTAAGCGGATAACGTGCCGCCGGCGGAGCAACACGCTATCCCAAAGTTCCTCACCGCATTTTCCACGCGAGACATCCCACCTTCCCATCTCCTAGGCCGAAAACCTGGAGGCATTCCTGCAGACCGCTCCCCTCAGTGCTTTGGGGTGGGGACGAGACCGAAGAGCGAGGGGGGCCTCTCTCGTCTCAATTCGATGCCAGGCTCAAATTGCCTTCCGCAGGTATAGACCCCACGTGTTCGAACTATTTGTTTCAGATCCAATAGCCAATGGTCATAGGACTCCGTAGTAGTCCGTAGCCAAGAGGCCCAATGGCCAAGACCGCCAGCTTGAAGGAATCTCACTCCGTAGCCAGAGGCTCCATGGTCAAGACTGCTGAAGGTGCGAGAAATGCGAGTAGCGCTGGCAAGGACAAATCATGAACAAACGCCAGATACGCATAAGTCCCTCGGATGCCAAAAATCGAGCCGCCCCACGACCTACCCTCGCATCGCTTCGGATAACTCCACAAATGCAAGCCTGCCTCGACAAGAGGTCGGAACCGTTCCTGGCAACCACGCCCTAAAGCATAGGTACGAACTCCTGCTCCTCTTCCAAAGTGTGCGAAACGCTGTTTTCATGGATCCGCTCTGCGAAAGCCTTGGATCGTCGTCACAAGATCCCAAGGCGCAACACCTGTACATCCATCTCAGCGCTGCTCCTTCAAAGATGCCGTTTGAAGTAGCGCGTTCAATAAAAAAGACGGGCCGAGCGCTGGAGGCGCGCAACAAGGCCTTGAACACTGCCTCGACGGCAATGCGCTCAATGTCATATCGTCTTGTCCGCAGGGATTTGCCAGGGAGGCTCTGGAATACTTGCTACGTTCGTCGAACCTGCAACGAAAAATGTAGAATGCATTTGTAAATCTACGACTTACGAACATTCTACATCTTTTTCGCAGGCTCGACGGAACAACAAATTAGCCAGACGAAGGACCCAACCATTTGCATCTGCGAATGCGGTCAGGGAGATGAGACGAAGGAGGGCGGCGCGCAAACGCCGAGTAGCTCTCATGGGCAGCGCGCCGAAGGAAGAACGAGGCGTGGGGCAGTGCAGGCAGGGGTGAAGGGGGGGAACAGCGCGGGATGGTGAGCTCTCAGATGTTTCCGCCTCTGTGCTCTCGCGCCCTGGTGATTGCGGCTCTGGTCAGAGCGCACGAACCGTGTGAGTGAGGGCTGTGCCGAAAAGGACGCGGGACGCATGTGGACGCAGCCACTGGGGCCTTCGGTGGAGCTATGAGGCCACGTAGCGTGTGAGGGGTGTGCCGAAATTGGCGCGGGACGCATGTGGACAGAACCGCTGGGGCCTTTGGCGGAGCTTCCTGCGTGCCGAAATGGGCGCGGGTCGCATGTGGACGCAAGAACTGGGGGTTTCGGTGGTGCTCCCTGTGGGGCCACGAACCGTGTGGTGGGTGTGCCGAAATGGGCGCGGGACGCATGTTGACGCAACTACTGGGGCCTTCCGTGGAGCTCCCTGTGGGGTCACGAACCGTATGAGGGGTGTGCCGAAATGGGCGCGGGACGCATGCGGACGCAACTACTGGGGCACTGGGGCCTTCGGTGGAACTCCCTGTGGGGCTGCGAGCCGTGTGTGCGGTGCGCCGAAATAAATGGGCGCGGGACGCATGCGGACGCAGCAACTCGGGCCTTCGGTGGAGCTCCCTCCTGAGCCACGTAGCGCGTGAGGGGTGTGCCGAAATGGGCGCGGGACGCATGTGGGCACAACCACTGGGGCCTTCGGTGGAGCTCCTTGTGGAGCCACGAACCGTGTGAGGGCTGTGCCGAAATGGGCGCGGGACGCATGCGGACGCAACCACTGGAACCATCGGTGAAACTCCCTATGGGGCCACGAACCGTGTGAAGGCTGTGCTGAGGTGGGCGCGGGACGCATGTGGACGCAATCACTGGGGCCTTCGGTGGAGCCCCCTGAGGGGCCACGATTCGTGTGAAGGCTGTGCTGAGGTGGGCGCGGGTTGCACAACCACTGGAGTCTTCTGTAGAGCTCCCCGTGGGGCCACGAAACATGTGAGGGCTGTGCCGAAATGGGCGCGGGATGCATGCGGACGCAACCACTGGGGCCTTCGGTGAAGCTCCCTGTGGGGCCACGAGTAGTGTGAAAGGTGCGCCGACATGGGGGCGGAACTTATGTGGACGCAGCCACTGGGGCCTTGGGTAGTGCTCCCTATGAGGCCACGTAGGGGGTGAGGGGTGTGCCGAAATGGGCGCGGGACGCATGTGGATAGAACCGCTGGGGCCTTTGGCGGAGCTTCCTGTGGGTCCACGACCCGAGTGAGAGCTGTGCCGAAATGAGCGCGGGACGCATGTGGACACATTCACTGGGGCCTTCGGTGGAGCTCCCTTCTGGGGCCACGAACGGTGTGAGGGCTGTGCCGAAATGGGCGAGGGACGCATGTGGACGCAATCGCTGTGGCCTTCGGTGGAACTCCCTGTGGGGCCACGAAGAAGATGGTGATGATGATGATGATGATGATGATGATGATGATGATGATGATGATGATGACGATGACGAGGAGGATGGTTATGATGATGATGATGATGATGATGATGATGATGATGATGATGATTATGATGATGATGACGAAGTCACACGGAGGGCAGAGGCATGGACGGAAGGGGAAGAAGAGAAGATGGGGGAGGAGGAGTGAAGTGAGGAGGAGGAGGAGGAACGTGGGGTGCTGTCTCTTCAAAACGAGGACTCAACACCACAGGACGGTTTAAGAGAATTATGGGGTAATCCCATGTTACTAAAGAACCATCGGAGGCAGTACCCGCCTAGGCCGCGGGTGCACGGGACCGCACCGGGCGGCGCGGCGGGCCGAAACAGAACTCAAGTCTGGAATGTTTGCAACAACACGTTGACCCTCGGCAGGGAAAGAAAAAGTCGTGCACACGTGATGCGATGGAGGGGCACACAGCGAACACAGCGAGCACACACGCAGCAGCCTATAACGAGGATAGCACGCACAGCCTCTCTTGGCCTCGCGGCGCGGAGCATCGAAGCGACTCCTGCGCGGCAGCTTCCTCACATGCCTGCTCGGCATCCTGGATCACGATCCGCCCTGCCTCCCAGGCGGCCCCCTTGGGATGGCACGCTGTGGCTTCCTTGACGGCTCCCCTCGCCTGCACCCCTTGGCATTCTCACCACCTTCGCCACAGAGGGGCGCACAGGGCACAAATACGATCTCCTTGACCACCCTCTGGTAATGGACGTTCTTTGCCGCTTTGAGCACGTTGGTCGCCTCCTGAACCTAAGTCAGCAGTGTGCAACCACTCCGCGGACATCTTTGGCTGCACGCTCCACAAGGTCTCGGCAACAACCACGCGACTACCTGAATCTCACTGCCAGCCAGCGCCGCCATGCACACGGAGAACGACCCAGCCATCCCGACGGGGAGCAGACCTTGTATCCGGGAGACAGGCACGGTGCTCACCAAGCAGCGGCGCACCAGCACTGGCCGCATGACTCCTGATGGGGCCAAGAAGGCGCAGACTTTGGAGGCGGCTGGAGGGTCTGAATTGGTTGGGACCCCAGAGCATCGGTCAGGAAAGGGGTTGAGGCCAAATCCGCTCAAACTCGGTCCACGAACAAATGTTTCACCACGGAGCCGTTTTTCACGGTCCCAGGGCCTGGAAATGGCCCCTGGGAGACCGAAAAAGGCCAAAAACCTTGCCGAACCCAGCGCCTCGAATCTGGCCGCCCTTCTCGCTGGCCGGAACCAGTGCTGAGCCACCACAGACCCACAGGCGGCTACAACGTGGAATGACTCGCAAAAGAACCCGTCAAGCAACATGCCCACCGTCGCACCACAAGCCGCCAAGCCACGCACGGCGCCAGCCCCATCCGTCGCAGTGATCCAGAAGGCTGCGCGCCAGGCGGCAACCGCGGCCGCAAAGCTGACGAGGAAGAACACAGCGTAAATTGAAAATGTTGCGAAAAAGTGGAGCTCCAAGAAAACGCCCAGGTCGAGTCCAGACTCTTCACTCTCTGAAGCGAAATCAGGAGCCCATGAAATTGGATGTTTGTTCTTAAGGTTTCTGACGGGTGTACTACGACAGAGAAGACATCATGATCGGGAGCGGCAAATTCGTGTCGTGAAGACCCCGGCTATGGCTTCTCACACCGCGTGGATGTTTCAACATTGAACGATCGGCGTCTTTTCGATCGCCGGATCGTTGCATAGCGGCCGATTCTGGGCGACGGGCGGCGTTCAGCCTTGAACGCCGGCGGCAATGTCAATGCCGCGTCGGCACGACACGAACCTGCCGTACACCAGCACCGTGCACATACGCAATAAGAGCAGCATCAACGCCGGCACCATCGCCGCGCACAGTGTGGCGAGCAAGCTCACCAGCAAGAAAAACAACAGCAAGAGAAGCGGAAATCACCGCGTGTAGCAACATCGCGTACACTCGCAAGAAGAGAACCAACATCGCAGGAACACGGGAGGGGCAGAAAGGGAGGGGGAGATCAGGATGACGACAGACAGGCAAACCGACGGACAGACGCCAGGCGCCTACACGGTGCACAGGCAAACAAAACTACTTCGGTTTTTGCGACAAGTATGTGCAGAACCGTTCGATACCGAGTAGCGGCAAGAAAACTAGGTCCCAGTGTATTGGGTAACACTCAACGGAGGGCTCAGTATATTGGGCAAACTGGAGCGTGGCCGAAACTGGCACAACATGCAAGATGAGGAGGCACAGCAATGCTATTGTCTGCCTGCTGGATCCGACGCAGATCTTTCGGAGAAGGTCGGTCACGCAACCTGGTGCCGACCGTGCAAGCTAGGAACTTGCTTGCAAGCCGCACAGGACGAGGTCAAGAAAGAAGAGACCGTGGGAGCCACCCAAAGCAGAGACATGCCGAAGCGGCTCGTTCAAGATCAGGCGGCGACCCTTTCCATCAGGCCCGTCCAGGCTACTAGCACTTGGTGCGCTCGGAACGAGGACCTACCAACTTGGAAGCGTACCGTTGCCTGTGCCTCAGTCAACGAGAACAGTCACCGATAACAGTGAAGACGGAGACGGCATGATGAACGGCGTTGCGTCTTCACGCAAACCTGTGCCAATACCACCGCGGCCAGAAAGAGGAGGACGAGTAGCAACGGCAGACCCAAGTGGTGAACGAGGAGAAGGCAGAACGATGCCCTGGAGTGTGAGGAGAGGAGGAGGAGAAAGATGAGGAGAATGAGGAGGAGGAGGAGGAGAAGGGTCGAAGAGAGGGATGATGAAGATAATCTTGCAAGATGCGGATTGGGAGGAATGGAAATATAGACAAGGGGAGGGCACCTCTGGATGTCCAGAGGCCACGCGACCATGTGATGAGACAGCTTTGCTGAGCAGATGACCGCGGCTGCCAGGAGCACAGGTCATCACCTAGACACCTGCGCGGCGGCAGCTCAGAGTGTCACGAGCGCTTCGCGCTCGCGGCAGACCCTGGCCGACGCAACCAATGAAGGTGGCACGTAAAAAAAGATACGGGCACTCGCCACCGAGCCGTGCATCGGTCGACTAGCGTCAGGCCCCCCAATTCTTTCCCGTTCGTTCAGCCTCCTGCGGTGCGGTGGCCTCCGATGTATCGAGCCCAGCGCGCGCCCCTCAGGCTCAAAGTCTTGGCCGGCCGCACTTCACGCATCGTCAAAACCAATCCCTGGTAGCTCCTTTCATGGGCCCCCCCCCCCCCGCTTCCGCGTCGAAAGCCCCTCTCCTTCCCCCCTGGCGAGCTCAGGGCCTGTAAACAGAAGAACCGGTAAACCAGGACACTGGCGCACCCGCCAGGGGTCGAGACCTTCTCCAATACTTGTTTTTCTTGGTGCAACTTCCAGAAGTTCTGCTTTGTAGCGTCCTGATGCCGAGTGTGGGTATCGACTACAGAAATGATGTACCCCAAACTTGACTTGTCCGTCGAATCTACGAGAAATACCTAAACTACCCCGAGGATATACAGAGCAATGTGGTATATGCCCTGTAGATTCGACGGACAAATGAATTTTGGGATAAACCAATCTCGATCCCTTACTCGATGATTTCTGGGGCCCGGATGCACCCCCCGATACGCGCGCCAGCGCAGCTGGATAAGGCATACAAGAAAGGCGGAGTCCCACTCCGAGGACAGGTTTCGCGTCGATACCCTAAGACATGAAGGTCTTCAGCTGTAAGACACTGGCGCTTCGCGCTGGCTGTCTCGCAACACCTGCCAAAGCAACTCGTCAGCACTTAAATGCGACCAACTGGTGAGGCCATTCTAATCAAGCCCGCCCGACCCTCTGCGAGGCCGCGAGGCGTCTGCGGTGCATCGTGGCATCGAGGCAACCGAGAGCTCGTGGCGATACGACAGCAGGCAACTTGGCTTGGACCACAACTGCAAGTGGCGCGGAACGCGTGAGGCAATACGTGCGAACGAATGGCGAACCTGGTCACATTCACCATCGTGGAACGGGGGCCATGGGTGGCAACTGCGAGGGATTATGTGCTTCCTTGTCCTCCTCCTCCTCCTCCTCCTCCTCCTCCTCCTCCTGCTCCTCCCCCCCCTCCTCCTCCTCCTCCTCCTCCTCCTCCTCTTCCTCCTCCTCCTCCTCCTCATCATCATCATCATCCTCCTCCGTAGCCATTTTGGCTCAAGTCCGTAGCGGTGGCTCAGAGGACTTTGAGTTTGGCATTGGGGATCCGCGGCCCCACCAGTTTCCAGCGTTCCGTGTACGGTACTGAAGCTCACTCGCTCAGTACTCCCGTTTCTCTTCATCTACTAACGGCCACTGGTTGGCGGATGGCACCGCCCAGAAGGGGCGATGTTGCGTGTCATCACGCTGCTTGCCGCTATCAGTGGAATTGGCGCTCACATACAAAGTGTTGGAAGTGTGGAGGCAATCTCAAGCCATCGCCCGACGACGACGCAGGCAAGGGCAAGAGCAAAGGGAAGTGGGGCTATGGACCACCACGCTCCGCCCCCAGCCCCTTCACTTCGTGGGACACTGGTGCTGCTTGGGCTCAAGATGGACAGCGTACCTCCGCCGCCACATCCCTTGACGGGTCGTCGCCGTTCGCCCCTACGCCCGAGCAGCTCCTCAGCGCCTTGGAGCGCAGAGTGCCTCCTGGGGCAGCTGGCGACATGGGAGCCCACCTCAGCGCGCTGGCTACAGCCCTGCAGACGCCCCAGCCTGACAAGGAGAAGAAGCACAAGGTTCAGAAGGCCCGACCAGAACTCGAGCGGGAGCAGCAGCTGCACCAGTCTGCAGTTGCAGCCAGGAAGGCCCAGGAGGCCCTCGACAAACCTATCAGTTTCGAAGAGGAGTGCAAGGAGTGGCTGCACAAGGCATCCGCGGACCTCCAGCAGAAGGTCCAGGCCGCTGCCGCCACGGCAGCCGCCCACCAGCGCCTGCTCCGCAGCAGCCTGGAGGCGCAGCCGCCCTCATCGCTCCAGCCAGCGGCCATCAACCTCACGGCCATCCTCGAGACCACGGAGCCTGACGACTTGGGCAAATTGGTCTGCTTCGAGGACGGCGACCTCTTCTCGTTCGGCGACCTGGAGCTCGAGCAGGAGGAGATCGAGCAATGGAACCGCCACAAGTCTGAGCTGGCCGCCGAGGTCAGCAAGCACATCGTCGCAGCAGCCGGTCCATCCGCGCAGGGGCTGGCTTAGAGGAAGCAGGCGTTCGCCGAGCACCGCGCCCGCATGGCGCACAAGCGGCGTCGTGCCGCAGCTGGTGGCATGGCTGCAGGAGGCGACCCAGCCCAGCAGAGAGAAGCCGATGGGGGGCCTGGGGGCCATCCTGACGGGGACGGCGCAGCGGCGGCACGCGCCCCCGCCGCGGCGCCTGGCCCTGGGGCCCCGCCCGCGTCCGCCGCGGCGTCGACCGCGGGCGACCCGTCAGGCGCGGCACCCGGGCCAGCTCCCCCAGAGGCCTCGCCCGAGGACCTCGCCAAGACGCTTGCTGAGGCTCGCGCCAGGCGCGAGGCCTCGAGGGCCGCTGCCACCGCCGCGGATGGCAAGCAGGGGCGTTAGCGGCGTGAGCTCCAGCAGGCCAGGCCGCGGCGCGGGCCAGGCGAGGGCTTCTGACTCTCGAGAGCGGACATTCTATTTCAAGAACATTACTACTTGGGGGCCGTCAACCCTCAACGATACGAAGGATTGAGTTTCAGGCGCAGGTGTTGTGGGCTTTGCCGAGACCCACTCAGAGGATTCTCACGCCATCGTCGATGCCATGGATAAGCACGGTTGGAAAGCAGTTGTCGCCCCTCCGAGGGCCTTTCGCTCGGTCAAGAGAGCTGGTGGTGTCATCGCTGGAGTGAGGCGACACATCAAGAGCCACTCGTTCAAGGACCTCTGTCGTGCTGATGAGCAGCAGGTGGGCGCTGGCCGCCTTGACGGCATTCTCAAGGGCGGCGGCCCCATCGATTTCTGGGAGTTCGCGCCCGTGGCGGTCGAGCTCACGGGAGGCATGGACTTCATATTTGTCGCCCTCTATCTCACGCCTGGGGAGAAGTTCATGGGAGTCAACGCAGAGAAGCTCACGAACCTAGGGGCGTTCCTCAGGCGTTCGCAGATGCCTTGGGTTGTCGCGGCGGATTGGAATGTGTCACAATCGGACCTGAGGCGATCCAAATGGCCTGATCTCCTGGGAGGATATGTTCTAAGCCCATCGAATACTACTTGGACGTGCAATCGTGCGCCATACAACCTCCTCGATTTCTGTCTGGTTTCAAATTCTGCTATGGGAACCCACATGCTACGCTGACGAGGCTTCAGGAGATCACAAAGGCATTTGGTTCAATATTCGGGTGGGCACCCGATTGGCACAGATTCGTATTTTGCCGCAGCCCCGACGTTTCCCGCACCCACCAAGGCCCAAGCGAGGCCCTGACCCCAGCAGCAAGCGATCCAGGCGCAAGGCTAATCGTACTAAGGAGGGAGCATCGCGTCGTCTGGAGCATTCAACACCATCACAGGACCTTGATGAGGGTGATGGACAAGAGCAACCTGCACCCAGGCATGGAAAAGGACTCCCGCCCAGGAGCTGCGACGAGGTGATTCAGATCATGGCCCTGGACCCTCCCCGCGCTGTCCTCGCTGCCGCCGCTTGCGGCGAACCCGCTCATGGCCCAGGGCCAGGGGATGGCTGCGGTGTGCGACCTGGGCTGAAACCTCCGACTCCCAGCCTGATGGACCATGCCGAAGTTGATTTTGACGGTATTGATATACTAAGCGACATGGATTTGGATGAGGAGTTCGACGTGGCTACCCCGTCTGCTCCTACGGTTTCACCGCAGCAGCCACCAGCTGCTGCTACGCCGCGCTCTTCAACGGGCGCGGCTTTCTCGTCCCCACTGGCGCCCGTAGCGGTTTCGAAAAACAGTAACTTGGCTAATCACACCTGGACCAACTACTCACACGTAACACCCGCTGAAGATGACCCCGCCCGTGTACATCGAGAGCGGGGAGGCCTACCTCTGCAACCTGACCATGCCGAGAAGGGGCTCGAGCAGATCACCTTGACGGGCGCCGAGAAGGACGCCCGCTGGAGTGACCTGAGCCCCGCATGCCTTTCTGCAAGCCGATCCCTAGTTTCATCCAGGACTCCTGGGATTTCAGGCTCTCGACCCAATCTGCGGCCCTTGGGGCTCTCTTTTCGAGCTGGGTCGATCGACTCGAACGTTTCTACTGCGACATATACCAGCTGCTTAAGGAGCAGCACAAGTTTTACTCTGGCCGCGCTTTCACCCAGGGGCCCATCGTTTCAAAAATGACCCGAAGGGACCAGCCCTCTCGGTTTTCGGACCCGCTGGCCCGCTGGTGGGCCGAGGTGGCCACCCTGGCTGCAATCGGGGAGCAGTCTGCTAAGAGGGCGGGCCTCGGCAAAGACCCCACGCCCCAGGGTAAGGAAGCTATTTCGAAGCTCGCCGAGAGGGCGCGCTCAGTCCCCTCGGGGCCCTCTTTGGCCTTGGAGCCAGCAGCTGCTCTGTCATGGAAGATCTGGCTCCGAGACCCGCAGCAGCTGGGGTCTCTGGAGCGGCGCACCCTGCGCGAAACGGCGGAGGCCAATGCGGCCCAGGCCAAGCAGGCAGCAGCCAGAGTTTCACATGCTGAGTTTAAGGCTTGGGTAGCGGAATCTTTTTCGGACAAGGTTGGAAACCTCCACCGCTACTCCAAGCCCAAGGCCAAGGTCCCCTCAGAGCTGATTTCCGATGAGGGGGGCGGCAGGTTCCCCGCTCGAACTGATGGACCTGCGTAGGCCCCGATGGGCCGCAAAATGGACGGCTCCTGATTTAAGCGCTGCGTGGCAGAGGGTCGAGTCGGCTTTCCAGCGAGGCCGCGCCTCTGCAACAAAAAGTGCCCCTCCCAGCGCTTGCCCTGGAGCACCTCCGAGGGGCCCTGCGGCAAATCCCTGTCCAGACTGGTCGTGGGATCGAGAACCTCGGCCCCCGGGACATCCAGGAGCTGGGGCCCCAGGGCCAAACCGAGCTGCTGCAGGTTCTCCACGCAGCTG